ATATATCACTGGTATTTTTATTTTTAAACTTCATGTGCAGAAAATTATGAAGCATTGACTACCTTAAAAGTGACAGCTTGGTTAACAAATTCTCTGGGAAAGTAGAACTTTATTAATATATTCCCCGAAAGGCAAAGGCTTAATAAATTATATGAAGCGGATTTGTTAGGTTTTGCAGCCCCATGTCATAATGACCTCAGTGTGACGTTTTAAACAAGATAGCCCTAAAAACTGTCATTCTTGAATTCAGTCATATGTTATAGCCCGGTAGGAATACATAAAAATATACCTCCCAACAAATGTTGGCTGGTACTCCTTTAATTCGATATACTGGGGAGATACTAGGATTTATCTGTGGTCCAATTAATAACCTATGGCTTGTGAGCTCTGAGTTGCCTATTATACTGCTTTTGGTGGCTGTGGTGGTTCAGTTTGTGTGTCAACTTGGCTAGGCCTGGTTGAGTGGCTGGACAGCTGTATGTAGTAGTCCCCATGATGAGACTGGTAATCAACTCCATGGTGGAATCTACTGGGAGCAGCTGAGTAGCTGCCTTTGGGTATGTGGTCTGCTTTCCATATATAAAGAGAAGCTTTGAGAATGGTCTGTAGCCTATGGCACACTTGGACCCTGCATGTAACCGTGCCGTTGCTCAGCAGCCTGCTATGCTCTGCCAACCTTGGGACTTAAAATGGACTTAAGTTAATGGCCTGCCGTGTGGTTTGGTAACATCAAGACTGTGCCTTTTTACTTGTCAACCTTGGGGTTTCTCAGCCTCAGCAGCCAGCAGCTGTCTGAGTGAAGAAATACCTCTAGCTCCAGTGGGCTGGGAACAGGAGGCAAAGCTGGACCCCAAGGTTGAGGGGCTTTCACACAGCCCCTAGAGCCTGGCACTTTGAACTTGGACTTAAAGTCTCCAAATTGTAAGAATAAACTCTTGTTTGCTAAGGCCATCCCATTTGTGGTATATTCTTGTCAGAGCTGCGCTAGGTAACTAGAACAGTGGGATTAATATTAGGTGATGTTTAGACTCCAGTAAAAGGTCTTTGTTAAATGTCTGCTTGTCCTCAGCTTATTTATTGATGTTTGGGATAAATGGGAGATAAATTTTTTAAGAAATAGTGAGGACCAGGTTGTAGAAGGCATCTTATAACAATTTTATGTCAGTTAGTGTTTACATCTAGAAAAAACTCACTGTCATCGAGTTGGATCTGACTCATAGTGACCCCTCCTTGGGTTTCTGAGGTGGTATCACTATGAAGTATGATTGCCCAGCCTTCCCTCTGAGGAGTGGCTGGTGGGTTTGAACTGCCAGCCTCTGGTTATCTGTCAAACGCCTTAGGCACTATGCCACCAGAGCTCCTTGGCTTGGGTTAGGTGCGCCTTAGTCTTCAGTGAGACATCTGTGTCCTTCAGTGCTTTAAGGAGGTCTTTTGCAGCAGATTTGCCCAAAGCAATATGCCATCTGATGTCTTGACCGCTGCTTCTGTTGGTATAGATTGTAGAAACAAGTAATGTGAAGTTTTTAACAACTTCAGTCTTTTCTCCATTTATTGTGATGCTGCTTATTGGGCCAGCTGTGAGGATTTTCATTTTATGTTGCAGTGTAATCCATACTGCAGACTTTAATCTTCACCAGTAAGTGCTTCAAGTCATCCTCACTTTCAGCAAGCAAAGTTGTGTTGTCTGCCTATAACAGGTTGCTAATGAGTCTTCCTCCAATCCTGATACCGCATTCTTCTTCATATGGTCCAGGTTTTCGGATTATTTGCTCAGCATACAGCTTGAATAATTATGGTGAAAGGATACAACCCAGACACATTCCCTTCCTGATTTTAAACCACGCAGTGTCCCCTTGTTCTGTTCAAACGACAGCCTCCTGCTCTATGTACAGGGTCCTCATGAGCACAATTAAGTGTTCTGGAATTCCCATTTTATCAATGTAATCCAGAATTTGTTATGATCCACATAGTCGAGTGTTTTTGCATAGTCAATAAGACACAAGTAAACATCTTTCTGCTATTCTTTGCTTTGAGCCAAAGATCCATCTGACATCAGCTATGATATCCCTCATTCCACATCCTCTTCTGAATTCACTTTGCATTTCTAGAAGTTCTCTGTCAACATACTGCTGCAACCGTTTTTTAATTATCTTCAGCAAGATTTTACTTGTGTGTGATATTAATGATACTGTTTGATAATTTCTACATTCTATGAGATCACCTCTCTTTGGAAGGGGTACAAATATGGATCTTTTCCAGTCAGTTGGCCAGGTAGCTGCGTTTCCACGTTTTTTAGCACAGAAAAGTTAGTGCCTCCAGTGCAGCATCTGTTGAAACCTCTGAATGGGTATTCTGTCAATTCCTGGAAGCTTGTTTTTTGCCAATTCCTTCAGTGCAGCTTTGACTTCTTCCTTCAATACCATTGGTTCTTGATAATTTGCTACCTCCTGAAATGGATGAACATCAACCAGTTCTTTTTGGTACAGTGACTCTGTGTATTCCTTCTATGTTCTTTTGATGTTTCCTGCATCATTCAGTATTTTGCCAGGGATTCTACTGCTCTATTCAAGAGCTTTTTGTGTTGAGGACTTTTGAACCCACTGGTTCTTTGTAGACTTAACATGAAAGTAGCTCTGTATAGAGAAAGCTCAAAGCTCAGACTCTAAACCTTGCTACTGAAAGTGTGGTTTCTGAACCAGCAGCATTATCACCACCTGGAAGCCTCAGTTTATTACTTCAGTGTTTATGATGGTTTTTCTCTTTTTTCTTTTTTTCAATACAGAAGGTATTTGGCCCTAGCCTAAGCCGGTTGAATCAAGTGATTCCTTTGCACGTTAAAGTTTGATAAATACTATGCTCATTAACTGTTGCCTTTTTTTTTTTTTTTTTTAAATAGTGACTCTCAAAGGACAGTTTTTGTTTCATTTTAATTTTTGATTACCAGAGTCATGGCAGAATGCGTCTTCTGTAATTTCTACCTCAAAATATTAAGTGTTTTGCAGCCCCTTCACTAAATAGATTATGCTGGGAAATGAAATATATTTTTTCTGCTCCTATTTCCTTAGCTGTTAAATAAGCTATCTGGTCCATATGACCATGCAGCAGGTTTGACAGATAAAATACAGAATGCACAGTTACATTTGACTTTCAGATAAACAACAAATAACTTTTCAGGATAGTTATCCCAACTAGGAGATCCGGTGTTGTGGTTAAGGCAATTGGCTGCTAAGCAAAAGAACAGTGGTTCAAACCCACCAGCTGGTGTGTGGAAGAAAGATGAAGCACTCTGCTTGCATAGAGATCTACAGCCTAGAAATCCAGTGGGGGTAACTATGAGTTGGAATCTACTCAATGACAAACTATTCCATGGAATCCTGTATTTTTATTTGCTAAAGCCAGCAACCCTACCTCGAAGAGTCCTTCTGAAGAAATTATTCACCTTACATTGTCCTTAGTTTATTACTTCAGAGTTAATAATGTTTCTTTTTTTTCTTTTTCTTTTTTTAATGCAGAAAGTATATGGAGATCCTTGTTCTTATGTGTTTATGTATCACATTTTGTTCTGTATTATTTTGTACATTTGAAAAATTATCAAAATAAACGTTGACTTTTATTTTGAGGAGCCTGTTCAAAAAGAAAAACTCACTGCCGTTGAGTTGATCCCAGCTCATAGTGACCCCTCCTTGGGTTTCCGAGGCAGTATTGCTATGGAAGTACATTGCCCCATCTTCCTTCTGAGGAGTGGCTGGTGGGTTTGAACCACCAGCCTTCTGGTTAGCAGTCAAGTGCCTTAGGCACCATGGCACCAGAGCTCTGAGGAGCCCATTAGCAATTAGGAAAATGTCAGTGAAAGTTGTTGGAGCCTTACCTTCCAAAGAAGGCCTAGGAATCGAAGCTGCATCTGCATTTTTCACAGTGTTGGGGACTGGCAAGGGGTGAGGCTGGTGGGACACATCTGTGGATGCCACTGACGTGAAAAACAAAACAAGGACATATCTACATCTATTCCAACTAAAGAGATCACTTTTTTTTTTTTTAATCACATCTGAATTGTATGGTGACTGCCCAAGTTGTCTGTAGCCCAGAAAAAAACCAGAGAGCCATCACTTTTTATTTAAGTTGCTTAAATGCTTCATTAGAGGGCTGGGTACTCAGATTGTGTCCTCTGTTTTCTGTTTTGTAAGGGTTTTTTTTTCATTTCAGGATCCATTTTTTCTCAATTTGTGAATTCTGTACAGTTTGGAAGCAACTCATCAGCCCTGTAATGAAACAGTCATACCTGTTGCACTGGCATTTATTCCTTTCTCTCCATGGCCAGCATCTTTCAGGGAGTGCCTTTCCTCATGACTTCAGAATTGTAATGCTGTATGTTATCTACCATGCTTCCACACTCTGCTCCATTTTTACCACACTGAATCCATCATAGTTGTGTTGTTCAGTTCCGTTAAAGAATTATCCAGCTTCTCTCTGTAGCAGCAAGGGGGCTAAGGGCCAAATAATTAATCCTGGCATAGGATCCATGCTTCAGTGACAACTAAGATGGTTTGTGGTATTTGGGTTGCTAGCAGGGTACCAATATTTTTAAGTTGACTCAAGTAAAACTCAGAAAGAAGTGTCCCATCTAGCAAAAATGATGACCATCATAGCATTGTAACGAGTAAGCACAAGGCCTTTCTTCATGTTGACAAACATAAAGTCTACCTAAATAGCTCTTCTCTGAAAGTGATAGACTTTGATGCCATGAGCCTTGGGTGCTCAGTGTGAATGGCATGGATTAGTGAAAGAGACGTCAAGTATGTCAGGATCTTCTTATAGTATTTCAGATCTGGAAATAATAGTTGTGATGTGGCCTTGCCCTAAATGCTTCACACCTCTGTGACTCTACTGGAGGGATTATGGTGTCAAAGCCTGGGTGATGCTAAGAAATGAAATCCGAGCTGGCATTGAGAAGACATGAGATATTTGAGTCAGTGGTTCTAATCTATTTTATTTTCCTACAGCAGGAAAAGCCTAGGCTTCTTGAGCCTTTGGATTATGAAACTGTCATTGAAGAACTTGAGAAGATCTATGGGAATGATCCTCTCCGAGACCTCCTATTCTTCCCCAGTGACGACTTTTCAGTAAGTGTCTCCTTCTCAAATGATCCAAGTCCAGGAGGGCACCTGAGGTGTTAGAAGATCCTCCGCAGTTGGGTTGCTCTCTTTCCTTGTACTTTGACTGAGTGAGGGCCCTCATCAGCAAAGTATCCAAGGGCCTCCTGATGTTACATGGGTCAGGGGCTCACTGACTCAGTGGTCTCTTGGGACAGGAGTTGCCCAGCATTCTGCCAAGTTGCAGATGGTACTCATGTCCCAGGCAGTGGTTAGATTTTACCTAGGTGGGATGTTACCTGGGTTCCTGGGTGGTGCAAATCATTTGCACTTGTCTCTTAACCTAAAGGTTGGCAGTCTGAACCCACCCAGCAACACTGCAGACTGAAATCATGGCTATCTGCTTTTATAAAAATTACAGCCCAGAGAATCCTATGGAGTACATTATCTGCTCTGTAACACATGGAATTGCCTGAAGTTGGATGACTAGACTCACAGAGCACTCTCTTCCTCAGGCCATTTCTAACTGAAAGCCTCCAAGTGCCTGAAACCATCCCACACCAAAGGTGGCAGTCTATTGGCGCAAAAAGAGATGCAATTCTTAAAAGTCACCTTTAGTCTTAATTGTCTTCTAGTAAGGAGCTGTTGACGTTTGAGGGACCGCATGTAGGTAGACAAGCACATCTTCATGGAGCGATGAGCCATGGACCCTTTAGGACAGTGCTCACAATCACGTAGAGTGCCCCTGACAGCAGCAGAGAGACTGAAGAAAAAGGAAATTTGTTTTGGAAACACAGTGAAGCTATGGATGGTGAGCACCCAAGACCCAAACATTCAATCCTTTTATTTGTGGTCACTGTAAACATATTTTAATTGCAAATATGTAACTATGCAAACAGAGATCTCAGGGACAACTGGTAACTAACTTTTCCTGTTTCTTTTCTAAGTGAAAGTCTCAGATGTCAGAAACATCAATGTCTAGGGCAGATGAAAAGGCAGCTCCAGGGTAACCCTTGTCCAGGGAAGCTTCCAAAGAGAGGGGGGGCCTCAGCAGCTGCACTTCCTCCCAAATAGTCTCAAACGTTGGTTCCCCTCTTACCTTTGGGGAAGATCTGGCATTTGGATTTGAATGGTTATTTTTCCACCTTCCTCCATGGAGTAATTTGGAAGAAAGTATACGAACATTTATGTTTTTCTGGTTTGAGTATGTGAAATGGTTGAAGAAAAAGAGACGAAAGTTTTAGACAGGAGAAGAGAGACTCTTGTCCTCTGTTTTGTGTTTTGTAACATGGCTTCCATTGTGGTGTTTGGCACATTTTGAGAAATGTTTATTTCAGGCAGAAACCTTGTTTCCTGGCTCAAACTAGGCCACTGGGGCTTGAACTGAGAGCACAAAGTTGAACCACATTTCTGCTTTTTTATAATTCCACATCTTTGTTTTCATTTTTCCAGGCTGAAGGTAAACCTTGACGAACAGCCTCTTTCTGTCAAACACCACAGACAAGCTTGAAACTGGAAGTGTCTTTTCTTCCAGCGCTATCCTACGGAAAGATATCTGATAAACTCAGAGGGTCTCCAGCTCCATAGGAGAGTGGAGGAGTCTGGATGGGAGGACTGAATTTGCACTGTATTTGAAATCACTTTTGGCATTTTCAGTGCTCGAATATGTTAGGGACTGTCCCTGATTACTGTTTGACTTTGACTTCCTTAGTGGCATAACCGTTGCTGTTGTTAGTTGCGATCATGTTGGCTGCACCACACAATGAAACTTTGCCCGGTCCTGTGCCATTGCCCCGCCCATTACTGTGGCTGTTGTGGAGTCTTCCAACCTTAGGGACTCACCGTCCAACACTATATCAGACAATATTCTGTTGTGATCCATTGGGTTTTCATCGGCTAATTTTTGGAAGTAGACCGCTGGGCCTTTCTTCCTATTTGGTCTTACTCCAGACGTTCTGCTGGAACCTGTCCACCATGGGTGACCCTGCTGGTATCTGACAGACCAGTGACAGAGCTTCCAACATCATAACAAACACAAGCCATAACAGTATGACAAACTGACAGACAGATGATGGTGTCAACAGAAATATAGTTACATATTTATTTTCCCCACATAAACATTCCAATGCATACACAGAACTCTTTTATCAATATACCTGCTTAAAACCCTCTGTGGCTTTCCATTGGCTTCAGAATAAACTGCAAACACCTTAGTAAGACCCAAGACTAGAAGAGAGAGTAGTCAGGGTTGAGGTTGGGCAAGGACCAAGGTAAGGCATTTGCATCTCATTCTAAATGGCAAAGGCGTGGGAGTGTTTCAAGAAAGGGAACAAGTGGTCTGTGAATACTGTTAAAGGTTCATCTGATCTCTGCATGGAGAATGTATAGGAAACTGGGAAGCCAGATGATAGAGTAGCTCCCACTTAATAAGTCCTTAGGAGCTCTGGTAGCATAGTGCCTAAGGCACTTGACTGCTAACCAGAAGGCTGGTGGTTCAAACCCACCAGCCACTCCTCGGAAGGAAGGTTGGGCAATCTACTACCATAGCGATACTGCCTCTGAAACCCAAGGAGGGGTTGCTATGAGTCGGGGCTGACTCGACGGCATACAACAACAACAACAACAGTAAGTCCTCAAGAAATTTTTGATGCCAACTAATCCTTGTTAGAGGGCAGTGGTGGTTCAGTGGAAGAATTCTTAACCTTCTGTGTGAAGACCCTGTTCAGTTCCTGGCCAATGAACCTCATGTGTAGCTACCACTTGTCTATCATTGAAGGCTGGTGTCATCAGAGTACACTGTGATGCTGAACATGTTCAGTGGAACTTCCATACCAAGACAGCCTAGGAAGAAAGACCTAGCAGTCCACTTCCAAAAATTAGTCAGTGAAAACACTGTGGTTCTCAGCAGTCCAATCTGCAACTTATCATGGGGATGGCAAGGACTGGGCACAGTTTTTTCCATAGTGCTTATGCATGGTGTCACCAGGAGTTGGATCTGACTTGACAGCTCATAAAAATGACAATCCCTACTCTATTTTCAGAAATGTCATATCATACAAGAGGTTGAATTTGAACTGGCGTTAAGCAACTGATGAACAATCATATAATGTTGAATATTGTTATCTTATAAAATGCTTATTTTTTTATAATATTCACAAAATTGTTCTTCCTGTGACCCATGAGTGGTCTGCTGCTTGCTGTGGTATGGCCTGTGAGCCAAGAATAACTTTTACATTTTTAAATAGTTTTAAAAAGGAGAGATGTTTTGTGACATATGAAAATATGAAATTCAAGTTTCAGTATTTATAATTGAAGTGTTATTGGGATCCACTAGCACCCATACATTTATCTATTGTAGATAGCTTCCTTCATGCTACAATGACAGAGAAAATACTTGCAATGCAGACATATGACTTGCAAAACCTAAAATTATTTACTGCCTGACCCTTTCCAGAAAAAGTGTGCTGGCATCTACTACAGACCATATGTGTGTTAGGAGTTCTTCCATGCCCTCAGTGTGGAGTAAGGTCCTTCTTTCAATTCCCTCTGCCTCTGTCTGCCCCATCCACAGCCCATGCCGCATTGTAGGGGGGCTGCACTGGGCCAGCTCTTGGCAAGCGCATCATTCCTTGGGCTCAGCTGTGAATGGCAGGTGTGTCAGGCTTCTGTGGATGTGTGTAGGGAGTTTTCAGCTCCCTTAGTAGGATGTGGTAGTAGAATGACCACCCCAATCCCAGAGCATTGCTTTGTGTGGGAGAAAGGGCAACAGCTTCCAACTCTCCCTGCTGCCTTCAAGTGTTGTCAGTCCAGCTCTGCCCTGCAGATGGGAGAATCCAGCTCACTTCCACATCTCCACACTAGCAAGCACCCACACTTGCAGCAGACATGATTCATTAGTTGGTTTGTTTAATCAATATTTATTCAGCACCCACAAGGTGCCAAATATAGAACAGCACTTCCCAGTCGAGTCAGGCTGGCAAGAAAAGCACAGCCCTGTGTTTAAGGAGCATATGCCCTAATATAGATGAAACCTTAAGTTGATTCAATATGCAAATGGTTAAGGAGTATCAACAAATGAGCTTCCCCTGCTACTTGATACATTGCAAAAGGGATTATTATTATTATTTTCACTGAGGCAGTGTTCTTACATTGTAAATATATGGACATTAACATGTCCATGTTCTTATAATGTTGCCCTCTATTCCCTATTCTCCATCTATCATCATCCTTTTTTGCCTGGACCCTAGAAGTAGTCTGTTAACTGATCTTCCTGATTTCTCTCTTGTCCCACTTTGCCTCATTCACACATAGTAGTCAAAGGAAACTTAGAAATACAAATCAGATCATGCCATGCCTCTCCTTACACTGTCCATTGACTTCCAATTACCTTAAGAATCAAATTCAGCTCTTTGCCATTGTCCCTGTTATCTGGCCATCTCTGAAGCTCAATCTCCTGTTCCCCTCAGTTTCTACACAGATACCTAGCAGTATCTCTGTTCCCCAAACTTGTCAAGCTCACGCCTCTATAGGGCTTTACTTTCTCTGCACAGATGGTTCCTGTTAGTTTATCATCAGGACCCAGTTCAAGTGTCACTTCCTCGAAGAGGGCTTGTTGACTTTCTACCCACATTCGCCCACTCCCACCAGAGTCACTCTTTCTCAAATCACCCTGTGTGCTTCACTTTAGAGCACTCATTACTACCTGGGATGGTCTGGTATTGCTTGTTTCCCCGTTGATGGCCTCTTTCTGGCCATTGGAGCATATAGCTTCCAGGAGGACAAGGATGTTTGTTAACTATCTTGACCATGACTGGATCTGTGCAACTGGAGCAGCACCGGGCACAAAGAGGGTGGAAAATGGATATTTATTCCGTGAATTAGTTTTTAGAAAGCCACAATTATTGTTTTTGAGCAGAAGTCTGATTGTTTAAGAACCTTTAGGGACCATTCTGAAATGAAACCCCAAGAAATGAAAAGAATAAAATAATTGGCGTTCTTTAATGATGAAGAACACAACTATTAATAAACTT